TCCATTGTAGATATCCATTTTGGGTATTTTAAGTAATGTTTATGCCTGATTTCTTTCCATGTCTTCATTAATGTATCTCTAATTTTATGTTGGTGGAAACATATCCCTGTCCCTTTTCCTTTATCCAGAGGTAGGCATGCCAACCTCTCAATAGGTTGTGCCCTTCCAGTTGTAAAATTCTCTTGCCTCTTAATAAGGCCCACTCTCATAGCCATACTAAGTTGGCTGCTTTGTGGTATAGTTCCCAAACTGGGAGTCCGAATCCGCCCCTATTCCTTTTTTCCTGCAAGGACCGTAATGCAATTCTCGGTTTTTTCCCTCCCCAGATAAACTTCCTTACTATCCCATTTAAGTCCGAAAAATATTTTCTGTCAATACTAACAAGAGTGGTTTGAAATAAATATAGTAATTTGGGGAGAACACTCATCTTAACAGTGGCTATCCTACCAAGGAACGATATTTGCAGCTTCCCCCACCTATCCAAATCTTGCTTTATCTTTGTCAGTAAGGGTGTATAGTTATCCTCCTTTAAAGTTGAGCATCTAGCAGTAATCCAAATCCCTAAATATTTTATCATCTTAACTATTTGGATACCCAAATTATTTGCTAGTGTTTCCTGTTCTCTTATTGGAATATTTTTTGTTAACATTTTAGTTCTTGTCATATTTAATTTAAATCCTGATAGCTTCCCGTATTCATCTAATTCTTTCAATACTTTTGGCCCTGTTGTTGACGGGTCCTCCATTATCAACACTACATCGTTGGCAAAAGCTTGAATCTTAAAGGTTTCATTCCTAATTTCCAATCCCCGTATCTCATTATTTTACCCAATTTTCCTTAACAGTACCTCCAGGGCTAATATAAATAAGAGTGGAGAAAGTGGACAGCCTTGTCTCATCCCTTTACCAATCCGGAAGGTTTTAGTTACATCCCCATTCAGTATGATATTTGCGCTCTGTTTATCGTAAATTGCTTTTATCGCATTCTCGAAATACCCCCCGAAATTCATTCTTTGGATTTGCTGGATCATAAATCCCCAATTTAAATTGTCGAAAGCCTTCTGAGCATCGAGGAAGGCCATGGCCAGCTGTTTCTCGGAGTGTATTTCGTAATACTCCAGCACATCCATCACCACTCTCATATTAGACCTAATCTGTCTACCGGGGAGGAACCCGTTTTGGTCGGGGTGGATCCAGTTATTTAGTATTGTCTTCAACCTACCCGCTAAAATTCCCATAAATATTTTATAATCCGTGTTGAGCAAGGAGATCGGCCTGTACTTCCTTATTTGCTTAGGATCGGTACCTTCTTTTCCTACCAGTGTGATGAACACCTCCTTCCATGATTCTGGGATCCTAGAGCCTCTCAGGGCCTCATTACATATTATCAGAAGTTTTGGTACAAGTATTTCTGCCAGGTCCTGGTTTTATACAGTTCTCCTGGGAGGCCGTCAGGGCCAGGAGTTTTGTTACTCTTTAATTTGGATATTACCCCCTTCAGTTCCTCTGTTGTAATTTCTCTATTTAACATTTCCCTTTCCTCCTCCTTTATCTGTGGGAGTTTCTCTTTGGCAAGGTATTGATTTATATTATCGATTGAAGTTTCCTCCTCACTATATAACGTCTCGTAATACTGTCTGACAAACTCAAGTTTCTCCTCCTCCTCCTCTAATATTCTGCCTTCCAAATTCTCCAGGCCATCTATAACACCCTTCTCTTTCTCTTTTTTTAATTCATACGATAGCCATCTCCCGGGTTTGTTTGCATTGTCAAAATAATATTGTTTGGATTGTTTGATTTTTTTCACCAATTCTTCCTGTTCCAGTAAATTTAATTTATGCCTTGCTGTCATCCATTGCTCTTTTTTTTTTTAATATCACTCGGATCTTGTTGTAGTCTCTTTTCTGTTTCTTCCAGTTGGGCCAGCAGATCCTTCTGAACCTTTCTTTTCTCTTTATTATTATATATATTATGCGATATTACTAACCCTCTTAAGTAGGCTTTCATTGTATCCCAAACACATGTTAGAGGAGTTTCCTGATTCTCATTCTCCGCAAAGAAACATTGTAGGTCTCTCTGGAGTCTCTTAGTGAACTTTACTTCCCTAAGAATATGAGTATTTAATCTCCATCTCCTTCGTTTAATCCTATTTGGGCTCTTCCACTTAATCTCTAAAGGGTTGTGATCAGCCCAAACATTCGGGGTAATTTCAACCGAATGAATATCTAACCCTAAACTTCTACTGACCCAGACCATGTCAATCCTTGACCAGGACATCTGGGGGTTTGAGTAGTATGTAAATTGCTTATCGTTCGGATGTAATGTTCACCAGAGATCTACTAGATTGTGCTCATCAACCAAATCAAAAAAGGTTTGGGGGAGTTTTTCCCTTTTAGTCTTTTTCTTTATTCCACTCTTGTGGTCAACCTCTGGGTTTACTACCCTGTTGAAGTCCCCAATAATACAAATATTTGTATGTTCCAATTCATCTACTTTATTGCTTAATTTCCTGTAGAATTCTCCTAGGTTTCTGTTTGGAGCATAAATGGCTACTACTAAAATTGGGATACTACCCCTCTTAATTTCAATTGCAAGAAATCTCCCTTTATCATCTGAATATTTAAATTCAGCAGCAATTCCTTTTTTTACATATAACGCTACCCCCCCTTTTTTTTCTCTGCTAGAGAGGTAAAGCATTTGCCAAATTTCTCAAATTCCAAATATTTCCTCTCCTCTTTCTTTATATGGACTTCTTGAAGGCAAATTATTTCCGGGTTAAGTTTGATCAATTTTGAAAAGATATGTTTTCTCTTCCCTCCATTGTTTAGACCGTTTACATTAACAGACAACAATTTCCAACCCTCCATTATCTAACTAACTACATAGTTTTTGTTTGTATTTACGGCTCTTTGTGGTCTTTGCTTCTTTCCTGTAGTTTCTTTGGCTTCCTTCTCTTCTAACTCCTTATCCTCTAGTGTTCCTTCCTTGGACTTTTTTAACTGTGCGTTGATCTCATCCTGGGAGGCTATATCCAGTTCCTCCTTGCTACTTTGGTCTTCCTCCTCACCTCTCAGTTGGTCCAAAAGTTCTTGTGCGGAGACTAGACTGTCAATCTTGATCCGTTTCCCTTGCCAGGTAATGAGCATTCCCTCTGGAATCTAAAGGGAATGCTTCTCTTGTTTAGTTGTATCGCCAAGAACCTGTAGTCCCTTCTCAGATCTCGAACCCTCTTAGGAACTTGTTTCAGTACTATTACTTCTTTGCCTTTAAAATTTACTGGTTCATCTCTTACTATATTGTATAGCACGTCTTTCACTTTCTATAAATGGTGTTTTATGAAATTCATTACTCTTATTTAGTTGACTACTACCACAATCAAGGGAGTTCTTCTACCTAAAGAAATATCTCAGTTAATTAAGGGAAAGTCAAGTAGATAGAACAAGCAGCAAGTCTTAATAAGCAGGAACACAATTGAAAGAAAAGATCGCAGCTCAGAATGTTACAAAGTTCTTCCTGTTGTCAAACTTCAAGTACCCGTTATAGCTTATGGCTGCACTTCCGGTTTCTTCCTTCGGGGAAAGCCAATTAGCTGGAAGATGACAGCAAGAAGTTATTATTGCAATAGGTCCTCACGGTATTATCCACCAAATCTAGGTCTGAGCCTCTTCATCCACAATCGATACAGGTTTGAAAAAAAAAGGTGCCTACAGCTGATTTCGCCTTCCCTTGCCTCAGCAAATTCTCCTTCCTCCTCGCAGCCTCGCCGGCAGTTCACACTCGATCAGACTGCTCTGTTACTGATATTCGCCGCCTTCCCACCGCCATGAGCACTTTTAGCTGGCTCGGCTCGCAATTCCTCGAGATCTGCTCCTACGATCACCAGGGATTTGTGGTCGGGTCTCCTTCTCACGTTAACCGCCCTGAACTCCTCGCTTCCTCGTTGTTGCTGGTAATCGCGGCTTCGGGTCCACCATTAAATGGACGCGCCCATGCCGGTTTGACAGAGGAACCTGTCCAAGCGAGAGGCGTTTGCACGCCGCTCTCTCGCTTTCCAGATCCCCTCTCTAGTCCGAGACGCTCTCCGGGCGATCTCGCCCCTCAGGGTCCCCAAGACACGGCGAAAAAGATAGTGCCATGGAGCAGAGCTCGCTCACACAGCACCCTGCTGCCACGATCCCCAACCGGAAGAATGAAAAGACATTTTCATTCACTTATTCCATTTAATACTTGTCAACAATTTACAAGATATAATTTTAAAGTAATTTTTAGGTAATTTTTAAGACATCTTCAGCAAAAGATGTATCAGAACATGAATAACAGCTGATTAGCTAGAATAGTGAACAGTGAGGAGCCTATAACTAAAGCGATTTATCATTCAAAACAATTCTGTTTTTCTTTCAGCAACCTTCATTCTAATAAGAATTTTCAGTTTTCTTTCACATCTCCATGTAATTTATTTACTTCTAGTACAAAAGCATAGCAGAATATGCTATACATAGAGAAGCAGGCATAGTGGAGTTGGAACACTCAATTTGGTGGACGTTCTGAATAAGAAGATATCTTAACAGAAGTTTGGAGAATATTTATTTATTTATTTATTTATTTATTTAATTCGGCTTATATGCTGCCCTGTCTCCCAATGGACTCAGGGCTGCTCACAATAATAAAAACACAAGCCACAATACAAAATAAAATCTAAAATCTAAAAAAATTAAAATTTAACCCTTAAAACCCCCCCCATCAGACCAGGTCAAGTGATTTAAAAAGCCAATTTTGCAGGACCTAAGGCTAGGTTGAAGGGAGGTTACTTCATCCAACTTTATACGTAGCCTCTTTTATAGTCTCCTCCCTGCCTCTGTGAATAGTTTAACCTGAATCCCTTACCTGTTGTCTTTTCCGAGTTCCATATGTGTACAAAACTGGATATTCCAAAAGAGACACTTGACCCAGGGTAATAATGTCTTCAATTCTTTAGTATGAAATCCATTCTCTCCTTGTTAGGTTTTTTCTGAATACTTCAAGGAGCTGGAGGAAGAGAGCGTCCGTGACAATTTTGTCATTGTGTATGAGCTACTGGATGAGCTGATGGACTTTGGGTTTCCTCAGACGACAGATAGTAAAATTTTGCAGGAGTAAGTAATCTGTTTACTTGTTCTTCCAGGATCTGTATCTGTTTTTCTGCTGCTGTTCAGGATTTTAAAAACAAAATGTTGCAGTGAAACAAAATTCCAAGATGCATAAAATGTTAGGTTTTTAGTTTAGATATTCATACTTACATTTTTCAAAGATCACAGAAAGGGACTCTTACATGACATCTGCCAGACTTTCAAATTTAAAATTAGTTTTATCCTGGAGGCAAACTTTTTCTCATCACTATCTTTTTTGGGTTTCTGCACTCTAGCTTTGCCAATTGTTCCACTTAGGTCAGTGTTTCTCAACCTTGGGAACTTTAAGATGTGTGGACTTCAACTCCTAGAATTCCCCAGCCACCATAATAAAAAAACACATCGTTATTGCTTTTAACTTTCCTTATGGTCCTAAATGCATGTTGTGCGCTAAGCTTTCTAATTGTCTTTCTGCAGATATTAATGACTTATTGGTATCCTGGGCGATTATGCCCTATTTCATTTCCTGTAACTCTGAGTTCAGTCAAAACTCCCTATGCATCCACAATAATGTCTGCTTTGTTTTGTTATCGTTGGGGTGGAACATTATGAAATTGAACTTCTGGTATCTTATTTTCAATAAGTTTCCAATCTTTCTATTCTTCTTTTGATTTAATTCATTCCCATTTCTGTCCATGGGGTCCCATCTTCTGTTAAATTTGCCTTTCTTGAAAACTTAACGTGCATGTATAACTAGATTCTGTTTTTGAATGTGAACCTTTAAATTTTTTGTCAAATATACAGGTATATCTCAGCATTATAAATAGGAAGGATTCAGAGAGAGATCATTCTTAGTCCTACTAATAAGAAGCACTTCTTGCATTGGAAAATACATGTGCCAGCACACCCTTCCCCTCCCTGCCCTGAAATGCTGTTGATATTTTAATGCTACTCTAGACAGCAGAATGTATCTGAGACAAGCTATACTGTAGTAGGATGTTTGATCAGGAAGAATTATTTCACTGCATCATAGGTACATCACTCAGCAGGGCAACAAACTGGAGATAGCTAAATCCCAGGTTCCAGCCACTGTCACCAATGCAGTCTCTTGGAGATCGGAGGGGCTTAAATACAAGAAGAATGAGGTCTTCATTGATGTCATTGAATCTGTTAACCTGTTGGTGAGTCAGACTTCAATTATTTGTGGTAGAAGATTATATAAATGAGTTTTTTAGACGCTTCAACATGATTGTAACAGGTTTAGGAAGCTATTTTAATGTGTGTAAGATACAAAAATAGTGAACGTTGAGTTTATGCCCTGAACATGGTGGCATATTTAAACACTGAGGATATATTCATTACACTTTTTCAAGTACCTCAACTATCTTTAGTAAATAATGTAAAATTTTATATGTGTGTGTATATATATCTTATGTTATTTCATTATAGCTTAATGAAAAGTAAAGCCAACACAATTGAAAAAAACGTAGTTGGCATAGAATTTTATAAGGATGTCGTACCTTAAGCAATGGTTTTTAACTGAGCAACTGAAAAACATGGAAAATTAGTTCAAAGAATGACCCTATGAAGCAGATGAAGACTATCATTTTGGCAATGGACAGAAAAATGGAGATTGCATCTGCATCTGTGCATCTGCCTGGTTATTTATGTAATTTATGTAATTTTATAATTATATAAATATATATAACTTTATTAATTTTTAGAAAGATAAAACTAATAATAAACTAATATAAAGTAGAAAAGAAAAAAGAAAAAAGAAAGGAAGTAGAGAAAACAAAACAATGCAAGAAAAGAAAAAAGTTAAAGAAAAATAGAAAAGGAAAAATAATACAAAGAAATGGTTTCCGATATTCTTTTTTTTAAAAAATAGTCTTTATTCAACCTTTTTTAGTTTTAAAAACACATTCCATTTTTACAGCTTTCAATTATTGGTATCAATTCAAATTTCATAATTCCAATTTATGGCCTATTATTCTATACATTATGTACACCTTTAAATACATAATATCTTTTACTATATTCTACATTTGTTCTTCTTTAACATCAATTTAGTTATATATATATATATATATATATATATTGTTAGATATATATATATGTGTGTGTATAGTTAATATTTCGGGTTTCTTCCCGTGTAATTGTGGATATATCCCTAAAAGGGTAGAAGCATACATACATACATACATACACACATACATACATATATGCATACATTTCTAGATCTATATAGGTCTCCCACCTAGCAGGAAGAGCTTGCTGGCTGCTAGAAAGGAAATAAGCTCAGAATTGAGTGGATGTGATTCTACTGAGCTGGGGCTGCAGAAAAACGTTGGTTACGTAGGGAAAATATATATACTACATATTCCTTTTACCCTTTAACATGTTTTATCATATTCATAAATATATACAATTTTCAATTTAACATACTTTCTATATAGTCTTTATGCATTAATTTTACATCTAGTTTCTAGCCAGTGATACCACATATTCCAACTTTCGTAATACTCTGTTTCCTCTCTATCTTTTAACTCCATAGTTAATTTATCCATTTCTGCACAATCGAGCACTTTTTTTATTATCATTGCATTTGATGGCATGTTTTCCTGTTTCCAATTCTGGGTAAATGTAATTCTTGCTACTGTTGTAATATGAAGTATAATATATTGAATCTTTTTACTTATATTTCCTTTTATAATACCCAATAAAAACAACTCTGGCTTCATCTCAATTTTTTGTTCTGTAATTTCTTCTAACCATTTTTTGATTTTCATCCAATAGTTCTGGGTTTTTGGGCAAGTCCTCCACATGTGATAGAATATCCCTTGCTCGTGGTTGCATCTCCAACAATTTGGCACTCTTTTGGGGTACATTTTGGCCAGCCTTGCCGGTGGTAAATGCCAAGGATAAAACATTTTATAGATGTTTTCCTTATATGATGCCAACATCGTTAATTTATAGTTTTTCTCCCATATTTTTTCCCAGTGTTCCAAATCATATCCGAAATTTTTGGCCCATGTTATCATCATCTCTTTTACTGTTTTCTTCTCCATTTTAAATTTTAAAAGACAATTGTAAGTTTTAGATATCATTTTTTCCTCTGTCCCTAATATTTTGTCCAGTTCTTGTTGTTCTCTTTGGAAGCCGTAATTTTGTAAATCTTTTTTATATCTTGTTTGAATTTGTAAATATGGCCACCAATCTATTTCTAGTCCTTGAGATTTTAAGTCTTGATTAGATTTTAATATTCCTTGTCCATCCAATAGCTCATTATATGTCACCACCTTATTCCAGTCTAAGACTTTGGGGTATATGATGGTTACCATGGTTGATAACCATCTCAGGATTTTTGTATATTGATTTCTCTTTATTTTCCCCCAAACGTCTAGTAGTGCGTCTCTTACCTGATGTCTCTGAAAATATGTTTGAGATTTATTTTTCCCCTCCTAGATGAACGCATACAAGCCAAGCTGTAGATCGTGGCCTTCTATTGTTAGTATCCTCTTATTTTTAAGAGTTATCCACTCCTTAAACCATGTTACAACTACCACTTGATGGTAAAGTTCCCAATCTGAGAGTCCAAAACCTCCGTTGCTCCTACTATCTTGTAAGAGTTTAAGTTTTTAAGTTTTATTTGAGCTTTCCATCCTTTCTAAGGTAGGTAAATTGAGGACCCAGTTTGTGGGGGCAATAAGCTGACTTTGTATAAAATATATACAAAAGTATGAAGGCTATTGCTTAACGCACTGTAAGCCGCCCTGAGTCTCCGGAAAAGGGCGGCATATAAATCAAATTAAAAAAAAAAATCTACAAAAAAAATTTCCCAGGTTTTATTGGTACTATTTTTTTTTTATTTGATTTATATGCCGCCCTTCTCCGGAGACTTAGGGTGGCTTACAATGTGCTAAGCAATAGCCTTCATCCTTTTGTATATTTATACAAAGTCAGCTTATTGCCCCCACAACTGGGTCCTCAATTTACCTACCTTAGAAAGGATGGAAGGCTGAGTCAACCTTGAGCCTGGCGAGATTCGAACCTGCAGTAATCGCAGGCAACTGGTCTTAATGACAGGGTGCTTTAGACCACTGTACTACCAAGGCTCCTATTTGAAATAAAGATAAGATTTTTGGTAAAATAGTCATCTTTATTGTTGCAATTCTTCCAATTAATGATAACTCTAGTTTTGCCGAATTTTCCAAATCCTTTTGTATTTGTTGTAACAATTTTGTGTAATTGTCTTCTTTTATCGAAGAGCATTTTGCTGTCAACCAAATTCCGAGATATTTTACTTTCTTTACTATTTGAATTCCCAATTTCCCTTCCAATTTCTCATTTTGATTATGTGTAAGATTTTTTGTTAATATCTTTGTTTTCTCTTTGTTTATTTTTAATCCTGCTACTTTACCAAAATCCTCTATTTCCTGTTTCTAACGGTTCTTCTATGAAAAAGACCAGGTCATCTGCAAACGCCTGCATTTTATATTCTTCTTCTTTAATTCTTAGTCCTTTTATTTCCTGTTTCTGTCTAATCTGTGTTAGCAACACTTCTAATGATAAGATAAAAAGTAGGGGACATCCTTGTCTAACCCTTTTATTTATATTAATTTTCTCTATTAGGTCCCCATTTACTATTATTTTAGCAGTTTGATCGGAGTATATCGCCTTAATCATTCCTACAAATTTTTCTCCAAAGTTCATGCTAATTAATTGGGTAATGAGGAACATCCAAGTTAGATTGTCAAAAGTTTTTTGTGCATCCACAAAAATTAATGCTATCTGTTTTTCAGGGTGAGCTTCATAATATTCTAATATGTTCATGACCATTCTTGTGTTATTTCTTGTCTTTTTGGGAGGAACCCGTTTTGGTCGGGGATCATTTCATTCAATATTTTTTTAAGTCTTTCTGCTATGATTGTAGCAAATATTTTATAGTCGGCATTTAACAATGAAGTTGGTCTATAATTTTTAAACTGTTTGGTATTGGTATCTTCTTTGGGTATTAGTGTTATAAATGCCTCAGTCCATGAATTTGGTAATTTAGTTCGTTCTAACACTTCATTATACAATTCTAGCATTATTCCCTCCAATGGCTCCTGAAGTTTTTTGTATAGCTCTGCCAGAATCCCATCTGGCAGAGCTTTATTAATTAATTAATTAATTTATATACCACCCTACTCCCGAAGGACTCAGGGCGGTGAACAGCCAAAAGATAAAATACACATAGTACGAACGTTAAAAAACGATTGAAAAATACATTAAATACTTTGGCCCAGAACAAATTTAAAACACCCCAATTTATAAAACAAATTTAAAAGCAATAAAAAGGGAGGTTAGGCCAGACCGGCCTGCTGGAATAAGAATGTTTTGAGGGCACGGCGGAAAGTGCGCAAATCCGGGATCCTCCGTATCTCCGGGAGGAGCTCATTCCAGATGGCAGGTGCCCCCACAGAGATGTCTCTCCCCCTGGGGGCTGCCAGCTGACATTGTTTGACCGACAGCACCCTGAGAAGACTCTCTCTATGGGAGCGTACTGGTCGGTGAGAGGCTACTGGTGGCAAAAGGCGGTCTCGTAGGTACCCCGGTCCTAAGCCATGGAGCGCTCTAAAGGTGGTAACCAAAACCTTGAAGCGCACCCGGAAGACCACCGGGAGCCAGTGCAGCTCGCGCAGGAGGGGAGTCACATGGGAGCGCCACGTCGCTTCCGTAACCACCCGCGCGGCTGCATTCTGGACCAGCTGGAGCCTCCAGCTGCTCCTCAAGGGGAGCCCCATGTAGAGAGCATTGGAGTAGTCCAGGCGGGAAGTGACAAGGGCATGAGTGACTGTATGTAACGAGTCCCGATCCAGAAAGGGACGCAACTGGAGGATCAGGCAAACCTGATAAAAAGTCCTCCCGGCCACAGCCATCAAATGCTCTTCTAAAGACAGCCGTGAGTCCAGGAAGACACCCAAGTTGCGAACCTTCTCCATGGGGGCCAACGACTCGCCCCCAATAGTCAGTGATGGCACCAACTGACTATATCGGGACGTCGGAAACCACAGCCACTCGGTCTTAGATGGGTTGAGCCTGAGTCTGTTTCTCCCCATCCAGATCCATACAGCCTCCAGGCACTGGGACATCACTTCAAGGGCATCATTGGGTGATCCGGGGTGGAGATGTACAG